AGACATAAAAGGACTACAGCTGGGGACAAATGATCTCAAGATTATTTCAAATGCAGCATCCTACTTATAGTCTCCAGAAGTGGTACTCGAGGAGAAACCATGGTGAGGAAGGAAAGAGGCCTCATCTGCTCATGTTCATGTCACTCCCCTCTCTCATTGGTTTCTCTCTCTCGAGGGTTTTGTGCCAATGCCTGAATAAGTCTATAGAGAACCAAGAAAAAGAACAGCTTTTTAAATATTTGAGGCTTTCCGTAAGTGTGGCACTTGAATTATCATTATTTTTGCACATCCCCTAGCATTCTTATTCAATTTAAGCATCTTGAGGACAGTGCTTATAGGCTATTTTGTTTCTGCTACCCTAGTTAATAGTAGAAATAGAAAGTACTCAATAAATGGTAACTCTCATGTCGTAAGCTGTGTGAGACCATCACTTACACTCTTTCATTTAACTGTCAAACTGTCCAATGCCATAGTACTGTATATCCCCATGCCCCTCACCCCCATTTCACAGATGAGGAATATTGAGGCCTAGAGAATGCAGTGATTTATCTAAGATCCGTATCTAACTAACACAGAGTTGGGACTTTAGCTCGTATCTGTCTGACTCCATAACCCATACTCTTAACAGAAATTCTCAAAAATGCCTGTGCATCAGAATCACCTGGCAACTACTACATCAAAATCTCCAGAGATTTAGCTCCAGAATGACTGAAGCTCTCCTGTAGATTTTAACACAACCAGACCAAAATTTAGGAAGCTCTGCTCTCAAACACTACACTACATTTTATCCTCAATAAATATCTGTTGGATGATTGAATGAATGAATGAGTGAATAAGTGATGGCTATAATTCTTCCATTGATAATCCATTCCTGCATTAAGGTTTGCTCTCAAGGAACGATCCTTATTTTATTTATTTATTTTTTTAAATTTTTTGTTTATTGCAGTAACATTGGTTTATAACATTGTAAAAATTTCAGGTGTACATCATTATACTTCTATTTCTGCATAGATTACATCATGTTCACCACCCAAATACTGATTACAACCCATCACCACACACATGTACCCAATTATCCCTTTCACCCTCCTCCCTCCCCCCTTCCCCTCTGGTAACCACCACCAATCTCTGTCCCTATGTGTTTGTTTATTGGAACGATCCTTATTTTAAAAGGCAAGTACTCCTGAGATGCTGTCTCTAATTTTCTGATGTCTTTATCAGAGACTAGTTACAGAGAAACTCAACCTCAGTGGCTCTGGGAGGTACCTATTTAAGGACAAGGTAGGACCATGTGCTAAAATTCACACCTTTGGTACCTCACAGTGTTGCCTGGGGCTACTGCTGCTGCTGTTGCAGCTAAAAGCTGGAAACCTAGGGCTCACTTAAAATTCCTTCAAGTTTTTTAATGTTGTGAAGCCCCAGCCAGGATGGGCCCTTAGTTGCATAAGGCTTCTATCTCTCCTCCAGATCTTCTGCTATGTCAGACATTATCAGTGACAAGGAGTCTTTGGGTGGTCCAGGAACATTCCATCTGTGTGCAGTGATACTTCCAAACTCTGCTTTATGCTCTCAAGCACACTCCTTAAAGGGGTGGTGTCCCTCTTCTTGGCAGCCAGCTTCTCTGGAAGCTTGACCTCAAGCCACTTAAGCTAAGGCAGCACAAGTGTTCATCAACTGATGAATGGATAAGCAAAATGTGGTTTTATCTCTACAATGGCATATTATTCAGCAATAAAAAGAAATGAAATATCAATACATGCTGTAACATGGATGAACCTTGCAAATATTAAGCTAGGGTGGAGGAAGCCAGTCACACAAAAAAGCACATATTGTATGATTCCATTTAGTACAAAATATCCAGAATAGGCAAATCCATAGAGACGAAAAGTAGATTAATGATTGCCTATGGCTAGAAGGGTTTGGTGGGAAATAGGGAATGACTGCTAGTGGGCATGGGGTTTCTTTTTGGGGGGATGAAAAGTTCTAAAATTGATTGTGGTGATGGTTGTGCAATCTTGTGACTATGCTAAAAACCACCGAGCTATACACTTTAAAAGTGTATATTTTATGATATGCGAATTATGTCTCAAAAAGCTGTCCAAAAAGAAAAGAAAAAAGGCAGTACAAGGTGACAGAAGCATTGTAGTGAAATTGTATATAAGAATCGTGAGATTACCAGGCACCCATCACAACTGGAGAAAACTTTGGAAAGTTCCCCTTCACCAGAGGAGTGTATAGGACCATACTTAGGAACAGCTGCTCACTTTAAGTTGATTCTGTGTGTAACTTCTTATGATGCTTTTTTCTCTCCTGAACATGTATCTAATTTTTTAACCCTTTTCTTTTTTCCAGACCTGTGGGACTAAGTTCACAGTAATTCACAGACTAAAAATACGTGAAGTCAGGCACATAGTATTGTATTTTTTTGGAAAGGATTATAAATTAAAATGTAAAATATGGCTGTTGCTTTGCACATTTTTGCTGCAAGCAATGCCAGAGAGCTGGTGCTCATTATTTACAATGGGAGAGAAGCATGTAATAATGTTAAAAGTAGGACATGATTCTATCAAAGTCTCCATGTGTCAGAGTTGCCACCTACTTTTCATCCCCATGGCCATGGCCCAGTTCAGGGCTGCCTTACCTCTCGCCTGGACCATTGAAGCAGCCTAACTGATTTCCTGCCTCCAGTCTCTCCCTGCTTATTAACTCATCTTCCATCACGCTGCCAGCGTTACCTTTTAAAATGCAAATTTGAGGCAGTGCAGCCCAGAGAGTAACAGCTTGGGTCCCAGTCTCAGACTGCCTGGATTTGAATCTAGGCTTTACTGCCTGTTAACTCAGTCATCTTAAGCAGGTTACTTAATCTTTCTATGAATCATTTTTCCCCCGATTTTTACTGAGCATTAAATGAGAGCAGTATGTTAAGTGCTTAGTCCAATGACAGGCTTATAGCAGTCCATCACTATAAGCTTTTATTATTACACTTAGATTCAAATGCTGCCATTTTTCCTCATTTCTACATAATGAAATCTAATCATTATCAATTCAATCTAATCATTGATCATGCAGGAACCTGTGAAATGTAACCCTAGTCCGTCTTCTCCCAGTTCACAGCCTTCTCTAAATACATCAGGCAAATTTGTTTTTCTCGAGCTCTTTCCTCTGTCATTCCTGTGTCTCCAGTTAGAGAGGCCCATTCTTCATTCAGGAAGACTGTAAGACTGTGAAGGGACTGGGAAGCTTTTCCCAAATTCCTCTCTTCTCTGTGTTCTGACAGCACCATTTGAGAGAAGTTGACCAGAGTGAGTCATATTTTATAGGTAAAATGAACAGGACTTCCTGGTGCACTAGATAAGAGAAATGAGGGATAAAAGAAGGAAGGATGACTTCTAAGCTTAGATCTGGAACAACCAGGTACGTGCTGGTGCCTTTTATTAATGCAGGGAAACCCGGGGAGGACAAGGTTTTGAAGAGCTAGTAATAAAGAGGTCTGTGTTAGTTAGGTTAGGTTTGAGATGCCACTCAGGTATCCAAATAGATTTGGTGAGTAAGCAGTTGAATATATGAGTCTGGGGTTTGGGGAATGGTCAGGGCTATGGATATAAAACTGGGAATCATAACTCTATAGGTGGGGCCAGTAGAGATAACTTGGGGGAAACCTGGGGGACCAGCAACATTTAGAGATCAACTAGAGGAAGAGAAGCAACCTGTTAAACGTATACATGTGAGTTAAGTGCTGTCTTATTTATCTTTGTGCCTAGTGATGTTTGTCATACAATTTTTAATAAATGCTTGTTAAGTTCATTTCAATTCTAAAAGAAAGAATGATGGGTTCTTAGAAGTCTGCCAGCCAAACACTTTAATGATTTGGCCACATTTGCAAAACAAGCAAGAAGGACAACTCCAGCATCTAGGTTAGGGTGGAATATGGTGGACTGTTCCATGACTGCTGGAGACAGGCTAATCCTCCCTGTCCCCTAACCTTTCCCTATCCGCTTTCTCTAGGGACACTCCAAAGAGCATGGCCTCAGTGCTCATGGTGGGGATGGCAGAAAGCCCAGGATCCCAGCGTGGTCTTCAAGGCTGAATACCAGGGGTCTTGAGAGAGCAGCAGCTGCTGGAACATATGGGTGACCAGTAGGAGTTCCCTTTAGTTCTGGACTGAAGCACCTCCATGTACACAATACCCAATTTTCTCAAAAGTTGCATGGGAAACTTTCTTTAGTATTTTGTCATGTTTTTCCCATTGACTTTAATGGTTTAGTATTCATATTTTTCTGACCTCCTTGTTCCTATGAAGTGCTTAAGAATCTGTAAATCAAGAGAGATCCCTCTTTTTTTCTCTCCTCTTGCTACTGTTCTGATGAGGCCTTCATCATCCTTCACCTTGATAAATTCAGTAGCCTTCTATCTGGTCTCCCTGCCTCCGTACTCTCCCCACTCTGCCACCAGGAAAACCACATCAAAGCACTGCTGTGTTAGGGCGTCCACCTGCCAAGAACTTCAACAGCTTCCTCATTGCTTCCAGAAATAAAAAGATTCTAAAATTTTAAGGTTGGCATTCCAGGTGTCCCACAATCTATTGTTTCCTGGCAAGCTGGGCAGAGGATGAAGAAAAATGAATAGAGTAGGAAAAGTCTCTATGGGAAGAGAGAAGAATCCAAAAATTAAAAGTCATTCCTTATGGCCAGACTATCAGCGAGTGAAATGGAGAAGATAAGCCTAGGAGAAGTGCATATTTAGGCATAAAGAGCACTCTGAGATGTGAAAAACATACTCAGATGCTCATTAGATCTTTGAAGGATTTTAAGCAGAACATTGACATGCTCAGACTAGCCCTTTCAAAAGATGGCTCTAAATTCATGTGCAAAGTGGACGGGAGATCCTGGAGCTAGGAACCCAGAGGAGGAGGCTCTTATAGGCAGCTCAGGCTGAGGGTGACTGGCTGGCACTTAGCCCAGGTCTTCGCCGCAATAACTGCTGTCTCTGCCTCTTCTCAGGGCTTCGAGGGCAGCAGCTGAGGAGACCTTACCAAGGAGCACCACGCAGTAAATGCTGAAACATCGCACTCTGGGATAAGAAGCAGTAACATGGCAGCACCTGTTTGAAAGGAATTAAAAACCAACAGACTCCATTTAGAAAAGAACAATGTCCAAGAAAGGGCGAAATAAGGGCGAGAAGCCCGAGGCGCTCATCGTCGCCCTTCAAGCTGCCAATGAAGAACTCAGGACCAAGCTCACAGACATCCAGATAGAGCTGCATCAAGAGAAGTCCAAGGTGAGTGAGCACTACCTGAGGCCATGGCCTTGAGAGCGGCTCTGGCCCAGTTCTACCTGCCAGCCCACCCAACAACCCCTGTACATGTGGAGATCCTCTTATGTGTGGCAGGAGGGAGTTGAGCACAGGATACGCAGAAGGTGAGAATAACGTGCTCGTAGGACTGATCTCTGCCTCCTCAGGAACCCTGGTTCAGGGAACCAGGTATAAAAATTGAGACAACGACCCCCACGACCACTACCTCCTGACACTTAGTAGTTGTGTGACCTTGGGCAAGTCCCATCCTTGCCCTCTATAGGTTATCCCCTCTATGGCATTTAGAGCAGTCTTTCTAAAATGTATCACACCATGTCACTCTACTGCTCAAAACCCTCCAATGGCTTCCTACCTCTCTTAGAGTCAAAAGGTTTTCCTTACCACTCAGAATATTTCCTCCAGTTCTCTCTCTGACTCGTCTCCCACTACACTCCCCCTGGATCACTCTGTTCCAGCCTCTCTGCTGGGTCAAGAGAGAGATGCTAATCACATTTAGGGCCTTTGTTCTTGTTCTTCCCCCATCAGTTATATGCTCCTTCCTTACCTCCTCCAGGTGTCAGCTCCAGTACCATTTCTCTGACCACAGTCTCTAAAACAGAACACTGCCCATGCCCAGTTACCGCCCATAGCCTGACTATACTTGATGCATTTCACAGCAATTTATATATTTATTTATTTACTTGTTCAGTGCTTCTCTCTCCCAACCGAGTGTAATCTCTATGAAAGCTGAGTCTTACCTTGCCTGTGTATCCCTAGAGCCTAAATAAATGTCCAAAACTGAAAAGCTCAACATATATTTGTTGAACGAGTAGAGGAATGAATGAAAGGTGATTCATTCATTCCTTATACCTCAGTTTCTTCGTCAGTAACGTACTACTGTCTTGTAAAACTGTGATGACATTTAAATTAGACAAGGATATAAAGTAATTATGAGAATTAAATGAGAAAATTCATGTCAAGTACTCAGAGAACTGCCTGGAACGTAGTAAACTCTCAAAAAAAATAATAGTAATATTCTTTCTGATATGCTCTGCACTTATTAAGTCAGTTGCTAACTAGACTTAGGGAAGTGTCTCTTTACTTCTCTGAATCTCGTCTCTTAAATGGATATGCTAACACTTATCTCACCAGCGGGGTGTGAATATCAAACCTGGTGATGGATAGGAAAGCATTTTGAAATATTTGACGCACACAAGACATGTTTGTTCCCTGCAGACCGGAGACAACTATATCATCATAAAGTTGCTTTATGTAGATTACTCTTTTTCGAGTAAGAAAATGTTCTTGATCAAGCTATAGATCACAAACCAACAAAAATCCTTATTCTATTTTATCTACCTCTTCTTCCTTGACATTACTATTAAATTTTAATTAGTTATTTTCCCCAAAATTTATTTCTCCTACTTTCAGCGCTAGTAAAGCTTGGATCTGCCAAAGCCGCTTGCCTCCTGTCTCAGCTAAGCCTTAGCTTTGGATAAGCAGACCCCAATGTAAAGTTGTGAAGGAAGATTTTTAGTTTCCGTGACCCTAAAAGGAGCATGGTGTCATAATAAAAAAAAAAAAAGAAACAAACCAAAAAAACAAGAGCTTTTGTTTGAGAGTCAGAAGACCAGGACACTGTCTTTCTCTCTCTTTGGGGACAAATTTAAGTGTCTCAGTGTCTCGATCTGTAATTCAGATGACTGAATCTGTTTCTCCATATCTGTGTCTCTCAAGCATCATTGTGCATTAGAATAACCTGGGGAAACTTATTAAAAATTGAGATCCCTGTGCCCACAATCCCAGGATTCTGATAAATTAGGCGGTTGAGGACCAGGACTTGCAATTCTAGCGAGCAGTCCCGGCAGTCCCCAAGGAGGTGGTTCTCCGCCATCATGTTGACAAACACTCCACTCTGATATTCCTTCCAGGTCCCACAATCTATGAACATTTCATTGGGTTTAACGCTCCCTGGGGCAATGTAACATTTCAAGGGAGGCAGACTCCTTTAATTGTAGTAAGCACAGGATGACAAACTACATTCATAGGAAGACGCTTGTGGGTCTGGAGGCTGGTAACCATAAACTGTCGCTGATTTACAGAGAGGAAATGCACAAGATTTCAAAGAGGCAGAGGCCCCGAAGACCCCACCACTGCCAGTTTTCCACACATTCAAGCCTTTTAAAAGGGGTAACTCTGAAGTGTGGACAGGGTTGCCTGTTTATCCAGGGCCTGGCACTGGTGTCTGAGCTGGCAGGTCAAGCATAATCTCCCCTTTCTCTGATGAGACACTGGAAGCCAGCCTCAAATAAAAGCACTGCCTCTATCCTTCTCTCTGCTGGCTGTCCCCGTCTCCCTCTCTGTGGCAGTTAATTACAATCCCAGCACAGGGACCAAAGCAAGGCCCCCCCGCCTGTCAGCAGCCTTCCCCAAAGAGCAAAGGGAATTTAAAGGGCAAACAAGTCATAAAGCAGTTCTATTAAAATAAATATGATTGTGTTTCCAAAGGCCCAGGCTTTAAGAGAGAGAATATGAACAATGCCAAGATGTGAATTCACACTCTCAGTTTGGCTCCAAAGCTATGATGATAAAATGACAATTTAGCTACTGGGAAATGGACTAAGTTAAAGAGAGTGGAAAACTTTGGGGCGACAGGGCATTACTCCTTTTTCCAGAAAGACAAATCATCCATTGACTTTTACAGAGCGCATTGAGTGTAGAGCAGAGTTATAAATGCTTTGGGCTGATAATGTAAATAGTTACGCTTTCTTGAATGTTTACTGTCTGTCACACACTGTAATAAATGCATTTCCTTCTGACGTAATTCCAGCCCTTTCACTTGGCACCTGAGTGACCCTGAGCAGATTATGAAACACTCTGGGTCTTCTTTTCCTCATCCGTCAAATGGGATAATAGTAGTGTCTGCTTTATAAGGGTGTATGTCTACGTGTTAGTTTTTGAGCAGTTAGCTGTGTGCAAGCATGTGAAGTGTGTTAATTCAATTATCTCATTTCATCTTCACTACCACCCTCTGAGGTGGGCGTTGTTATTATTCCTATTTGACGGATGAGGAAACGGAGGCTTGGTAAGGTAAAGTAATTCACCCACAGTTACATGCTAGTAGGTGGCAAAGTTGGTTCTTCACTTCTCCTCTCCTCCAAAATCTGTGCTCTTTTTTTACATGTTTTTTCCAGTTTTACTGAGATTTAGTTGACATACAACACTTATTAAAGGTATACAACATAATGATCTGATATGTGTATAAATTGCGAAACAATTACCACAGTTAAGTTTAGTTAACATCCATCACCTCACATAGTTACAAATATTTTTCTTCTGATGAGAACTTTTTTTGTGTGTGTGTGAAGAAGATCAGCCCTGAGCTAACATCTGTCGCAAATCCTCCTCTTTTTGCTGAGGAAGACTGGCCCTGGGCTAACATCCGTGCCCATCTTCCTCCACTTTATATGGGACGCCACCACAGCATGGCTTGACAAGCGATGCGTCGGTGTGTGCCCGGGATTTGAACCCCGGGCTGCCGCAGCAAAGCACATGCACTTAAACCACTATGCCACCGGGCCGGCCGCGATGGAAACTTTTAAGATCTATGATCTTCCAACTTTCAAATATACAGTACGGTGTTATTAACTACAGTCACCATGTTGTACATTACATCCCTGTGACTTATTCATCTTATAACTGAAAGTTTATACCTGTTGACCACCTTCACCCATGTCCCCCACACCCTACCCCCTGCCTCTGGCAGCCACCAATCTGTTCTCTGTATCTACAAGTTCAGTTTTTTTAGATTCCATATATAAGCGAGGTCATACAGTATTTGTCTCTCTCTGTCTGACTTATTTCACTTAGCATAATTCCCTCAAGTTTCATCTATGTTGTCACAAATGGCAGGATCACCTTCTTTTTTATGGCTGAATAATATTCCTCTGTGTGCGTGTGTGTGTGTGTGTGTGTGTGTGTGTGTGTGTGTGTGTATGTACCACATTTTCTTTTTCCACTCATCCATTGATGGAAACTTAGGTTATTTCCATGTCTTGCAAAGCCTACACTCTTAAAAACTGTGAAGATCTGGAAAAAACTGGAAACCTTAGGCAGAGGAAGAGAGAATCACAGAACTTGTCTTTCCACTATTATGCAAATTTCAAATGGAGAGACGAAGTAGGAGAGGGGGTGGGGACATACCCATATCCTTCTCCCATAGAGGCCTGCATTTCTACTGCAGGGAAATGAAACAAAGTATTAGACACAGTCAACTTCTAGTGAATAGAAATTATCTAGAAGATTTGCCAAGCACTGATAGGAATGAACGTATAGATAAGTAGGTTATTTTGAACTAACTCCAGGCATAAGGGCCAAGAGGATGGAACTGTGAAGACCCTGTGGTGGAAAGGAAAGCGCGCTAAGTGGGGCCTTTGTGCTGTAGGACTTTGTCATTTCTGGGCCTGCATTTTCTCCTCTATAAAATGAGCAGATTGTGGACAAGATAGAAGAGCTAAGATCCTTCCAGAACAGTAGGGATTAGTCAGGAAAGGCAACTCTCTGCTCTAGCTTCCCCTACGCTGAGATAGTTCTCAGGGTCCTTCTGGTGTCAGACCTCCCCTGAGACCTAGTCTAGATGACGCTGTTCCGCTCCTTCCAGCTACTCTACCCCGTCACCCTGTTATATGTTTATCCTAGAACTCTCTGCTGTCTGAAGGCATCTCATTTGTTTATTTGCTTGTTTATTGCCTGCTGCCCCCACCCCAATAAATTGTAAGCTTCCTATGGGTAAGAGACCATGTCTGCTTAAGGTGTTCCCTAAGTGAGGTATCCCAGTGCTGAGAATGCTGCCTGGCATGTGGGAGGTGCTCAATACTACTTGTTTAAAGAATTTTCATGATCTCTTTTTAAAGCTTTTCACCCCATTAATAACCCCATGGCATAAGTACCATTATGGTATTTATTTAGGCGGGAAACTCCAGGCT